CGAACTTTTCGTAAAAATAGCTGCCATTTCGAGAAAAATCAATATTTAAAAAAAAAACCCTTACATACTTCTGTAGTCTTTAATATGTAGATAATGAAAATTCTTTCTGTTTTGTTCAAGAGCAAACCGTGTGCCTGGAATCCTATACACTGATTTGAAAACATAGAAAAAAGGGATTTTGGGCGTCGCCATTTTGTGCATAAAAAAATAAAAAAGTATTTTTTTAGTTTTTTATATATGTATAACAATGTTCTCTAAAAAGTTTTTAAATAAAATTATCTATTTACCCACAAAAAATCCCATTTTAAGCCCTCAGAAGTGGGCTAATCCCTTAAGCAAAGTTTGAATTCTCTTTATCGCGATTCTATAGTCAAATCTTGAAATGAGATCTCAAGAATATGTTTTAATAAACCTTGATTATATCAGCTGAAGTTTGAGAAAAATAACGTATCACTCAAGTGTTTCGAGATGATATATGAGAATCAAATGTGATTTACAATATATATGTTTAAATAAATTTTCCTGCAGAATGTCATGTCACATAAAAAATTATGTAATAATGATAACTTTGATAAATATGTATACTATAAACATAATCAACGATTATTGAAACATACATTATGTAGAAATGCACGAAATCTTTTTGAATGACAATTTGAGGAAATAATTCGTCAATAGATACAGATATCAGAAAGAACCTGTTATAGATTATACTTTCCTCGAATTAAAAAACCTAGCTCTTTTCAAAGCGTCTCAGGAAAGAAATCTCTTCCTTTTAATCTCGTCAATTAAATTCTTCCTTTATATCTGCAATTTTATGACTACAACTTCTTCTCGTCCAAGCGCTCTCTTTTATTTATATTTGTACTCCGATTATGTATATTGACGGAAAACATTTTTATTAATATCAAATCTTTATACAAGTAATACCTAAACATATGACTTGAATTGAGAATTTTTATGATAGAAAATATACTTGAATATTCTTCACATTCCGAGAAGTTTATCATTGCGTAATCATATTGCAATCTCACCGAAGATCACGACTTCGCGAACACATTTCGACGTTGCAACAAACGAAACGTGCGCAACGTGGATTCTCTATCTTATAAAGAAGCTTGCGGCTTCATTTCGCGTATAAAAGCTTCCTGCAAATGTAGCGCAGAGTGGTTTGCTACGTGCAACTTTGTGAAATCGCTACTTTGTTAAAGGGCACAGAGGAGGTAGAAACGCTAACTCGTTTATCAATCTCGTCCGACCAAATATCGTAAGCAGCGTGGTCGTCACGGCCAGAGAAAAGTTCCATGGTTAATGTTGAAAATTTAATCACGTCTAATGTCGCGAATTTAATTACGATACTGTAGTATATTTTCCTACAAATTGCCTTAGAAAAAGCATGATTCTGTTAGCCGCAATCTCTCTCGATAAAAGCCGAAAAAGAGCATAAGACACCGTTTGCACAACATATATTTCACAGGTACATATTTCGTGATTTTCGCTATTCAAGCGAAAAATAATCGATTCGTTTTAAAATCCATTCGCGTGTGAGATATAGCGTGTCAAGTCGACGCGAGGCATTTTTTGAGCATGGTCGGTATTTATAGTCGATTTTCTTATTTCACGATTGTCTTAAGTAACGTTTTAAGATTTAATGTTGCTAATAATATGGCTCTAAGATTGATTTATGACATCTTAAAACTGTTGTTAATAAGGTCTTAAACTTAATAAGAATTGATTACAAATACTGTCCATAGTGTCATAACTATGCAATCGACAACAAATGGCATTGCTCTGTTTGCAACAACTTTATTATAAATAAATGAGAAAATACATAAAAATACAAATACAAGGCAATATATTACAATTAATTTCATAAATACAAGTGATACAGGAAATTTCTTTTACAAGTCAGCGTGCGAGCGATTCCGAAGCAATTATTCGATGAAGATTCATCTAGTATTAGCAATTTATACCACGATTTTCTTCGTTGAAAAATGAAACAACTAAATGTAAAAGAGGCGATTATGCTATGTTTATATATGTTTTAATTTTCGCTTCATAGAAGTTTCGTACGCTTCGATCTGCCATTCTCCCCTTACATTCGACTTACGTTCTAATCTTTATTTTTACCAAGGAATGTATGTCAATCATGTGACAGATTCGTCAAAGTACGCTTCGTGCAATCGTAATACTTAGATACAGTATACATTGCTTTACAATTCCAAGTCAAATAATATTCTTGCGACCGTATTATACACATAACAAAGGGTCTAGCGGGTTTAGGAGGGGATTTCGGATCCCGCGCGTAATCGATCATAGTGGATAAAAAATAACTGCATAAGCTACTCGGTAAATATATTTTAATAAAGTGAAATATAGTTTGCTTTAACTGTCAGCAGTAATTATAGAAATCAAATCGTTATACATGTAAGAGTAGCTAATAGATTCTCGATGTGTCTTCCTCAAATAATTGCGTCGGAAACGCTCGCACGTTGACTTGTGAAAGAAATTTCATATATTATTTGTATTGATAAAATTAATTATATTACTTTGCCTTTTGTATTTGTAATATTCATGTATTTTCTCATTTATAATAAAGTTGTTGCAATTTGCAAAACAAAACCTTTTAATTATTAAAATTCCAATTAGCCATTAATTGCATGACAGTTGTGACATTATGATCAGTATTGATAATTAATTCTTATATTTTAAGACCATGTTAAGAACAGTTCTAAGATGTCTTAAGCTAATCACAGAGCTGTATTAGCAAAATAAAATTTTAGGGGCTGTCTACAATACGTCGTATGTCAGATCGTAAACCGTAAATCGTAAGAATTGACTAATCACAGTTGAATGTAAAAAAAATATTTGACTATGATTGGTCAATTCTTAGTTAGTATGATGAGTAGTGACTAACGGCTTATTGTAGAAAGCCCCTAAGAAAATCGACCAATTGCAATTCAGTGGAGAGGTTACGGACAACCTAATACTCAATTGGGATTTGGTCGATTTTCTTACGCTTACGTCTTATGATCTTATGGGATTTTATGTGTGAAGGCCTTTAAAGGCCGAGACACAGACTTTTGCATAACGCTGCATAACGCATAAGACATAAGGCGTAAGAAAATCAACCAATCAGAGTATGAAATAAAGGACTCTGATTGGTTCATTCTCTTATGCTTTACGTCTTATGCGTTATGCAGCGTTATGCAAAAGTCTGTGTCTCAGCCTTAAGATCCATCTACAATGAGAGTAGTAAGTCGTAAGCCGTAAGAAATTGACCAATCATAGTCAAGTATTTTTCTTATATTTGACTGCGATTGGTTAATTTTTTACGGCTTACGACTTACTACTTTCGTTGTAGATGGATCTTTAGGTCTGTTCTACAATACGTATGTCAGGTCGTAAACCGTAAGTCGTAAAAATTGACCAATCACAGTTGAATGTAAAAAGAATATTCGATTGTAATTGGTTAATTCTTACGGCTTACGGCTTATGACCCGACATACGTATTGTAGAACGGGCCTTATTATATCACCCTCTCAACCGTCTGTTATTGACTCTAGACTCTTGATTGTGTGAGCATCGTTACAGTTGACTGTAAAAGATTAAGTTGACTCACCTGAATTTCTTGATCGGTTTTGATCAATTTCAATGAAAAATTGTTTATCAGTCTCAATTATTTTATCAAGTAAGTATAACAATATGAAATATTAAAAAAACAAATAAGGAAAAACAAGGGCTATTGAGAGTTAACGCGATACTTAGTATGTGCGAAATCCAAACCTTTTATTAAAATTCTTCATTACAATACTTGAACGTTTCGGCTTTAAATTTGAACGATCTTCAACAACAACGAAAATTTGATAATCCCTTCCTTTCTTCATATTCACATTGACTGTGATCGTATACGCTCAAAAAATTTTGACGGATTTTATATTTCTTTAAATTTTAAATTCTAACTGTCTTCTAATTGACTAAGAGTTTTACTCGTTTGAAATGTATATTTGATATTTATTAATCATTGTTCTGCGATTCCACAATTCATTGTGACTTCTATATTCTTTGCCACATATGACTAAATTACCTCTCTAAGATCATTCGGCTTACCAACTGTTCATGAGTGACACTTAATTAGGAGACATGCCGCGTGTGCGGAGAAAGGAAGGGACCATCAAATTTTTGTTATTGCTGAAGATGACTCACATTCCGAGCCGAAACGTTCAAGTATTATAATGAAGAATTTTAATAATTAAAAGAATTGAATTTTGCATGTACTAAAATACCACGTTGACTCTCCTAGCCCTTGTTTTTCCTTACTTGTTTTTAAATTTAAGATTCTGTTAGATTTATTGACAAAATATTAATTTCATATCATGTATAAAAGCAGATTTTACCACGTGCATGATTTAACGCATTAATCTTTTATACTGCAGGGTGTCTCTTAATAGGTGTATCACCGCTCGTGGGTAGATAGAATGGACTAAACTGAAAAGTCCTCTACCATTTTGCAAAATTCGCAATATTTAACGAGATATTAATTTTTGAATATCGCCGAATAAGCGAGTATCCGTTCGGCGAGTCCGGCCCACCGTCAATACTAGCGCGCGACCGAGCACGGTTGCCTAGCGCAAGGCACAGCACACAGCGAGCGGGGAATTGTTTATAGCGAAAATGGCTCATGATACCCGCTCATTCGGCGATATTCAAAAAATTAATATCTCGTTAAATATTACAAATTTTGCAAAATAGTAGAGGACTTTTCGTTTCAGTTTAGTCCATTCTATCTACCCGTGAGCGGTGATACACCAATTAAGAGACACAATGTATAATGTTATTATATTAACAACCGACAACATTTATTTCAGGCTGTGTTTAAAACATTGAAAAATAATTGCTACTATCTACACTTTTCATTGCAAATAGCAAAACAGTTGAATAAGAAGAGAAATTTTATTAAATTACATTTAAATTTGTAAACTAAAGTTTACATTTCATATGTAAATTTAATAAATTTATAAGAAACGTCAGCGCAGATTCAACTTTTACAAAATATTCCAAATAACAGGAATTATTATTCTTAAAAATGAATAAGTTCATAATATCTGCACCAGGCAGATTATGCTTATTAGATAAAGATGTCGGCACCGACTTACGTACCACACTGACGTTCATCCAAACACCGAGTTTATCTTTAAACAACAATATTGAACTAGACTTCCCTCAAATCAATTTGTTTCTTAAAATTCCATTTGATACTTTTGTAATGTTCTTCAATGATTACGAGAAAATGTGTCAATTGCTTAAAAATGTGTTAATATTTACCGATATTTATCATAAATCAGCCGAGCCAATAGTATTTATACAAGCTTTCTATTATTTGCTGCTTTATGTCATCTATAAAGAGAAGATTTACATTACACCTTTTAATATGCATTTTTTCACGAAATTAATGCTGAATAATGATTTCGTCTGTCCGGAATCATTTACAGTATGTCTTGCGGCATGCTTGTTCCATTGGTCACGTCTGCAAAAAGATGATAATCGCACTATCAATAACACAGATCGCCACAAAATTTACTCATATGCAGCAGAATGCGACAAAATATTTTTCAAATCTGGGATAACGGCTATGTGCGTCTGCACATATAGTTCTTTCGTGACATATCGCATAGACGATAATAAGCGTTTGGTTTTAATGATTGATTTGCCAACCATGACGATACTGCTAGTTGATTCAATACAAAATGTTAATATTCTGATGCCAAACCTGGAAGATTTAAAGAAGTTTTATGATATTGTCAATTCTGTTGTCGACCACGTCAAGCCTATATTAATGGATTGTTATACTTTACGAGAATATGATATCTACAAAGATAGAGAATTCGTTAATGAAATAGAAGTTAATACGCATGACGTAACATTAGAAGTAAGTTTCATTATACAATTTATTACAAAAAATATTGTTCTATTGCATATTTACACGTATAGCTACGTCTATCACTTTTTTGTGTCATGTCCTTTATTGAGCTTTCATGTGAGAATTTCTCTATTGTTGAATTTCTCAATATTCAAATCAAATTATATTCTAATTTAACGCGTGTTTTTCAGACTTCCATTCCAACTGATAGAACAGGTAAATTGTATAACCGTTTGCAGAAAATGAACGTATTCGTGGAAAGAGCGCTCGGAAAACGTACAGATATTGGTACCTATTTATACATCTGGAGCCCATTATATGCAAATATAAGAAAAACCAATAGAACAAATAATTTGAGCTATTTGCCGATGCTCAGGAACGATATTAAAACGTATTTGGCTTGTACGGGAGTAAAAATTGAAACAATCATGTAATAATGTCTTAAGTTTAATATTAAATGTAATTATTGTAAAATTAAACTTTGTGTTAACAAAAATAATAAAGGATTCTTTTGCACACATAAATTGTTCGTTAAATATTGCTAATAATTGTTAATCAAATTTAAATTGAAATGAAGTAGACACATGGTGATGAAATTGACATAAGAATTATACAGTCGAACCTAGATAATTCGAATCTCAATGAAAGAACTAAAGAGTTATAGAGTTTTCGACTTATCGAAATTCAAGTAAAAGAAGGTTAACATACGGAAATTCGACTCACGTAGGCATTGTATGAGAATTTATAATTTTTCGATTATAATAATTTTTAAAGGAAAAAATTCAATATTTGACAATGAATTATTTATTGCATACATATAATAAATGTAATCATAAAACAAATACCAGGCTATTACACATAGCTATAACTTCGAATTGTAGACTATAGAGGCAGCGACAATCGAAGTTCGACTTATAGAAGTGATCAACTTCGACTTGTAGAGGCGTGGCTTATTTTAAATTCGAGTTGCAGAAGTAAAATAATATATCTAAATATCTGACAAATAATTCGAATTCAGGTAGGTTTTATTTCGATTTATGAGAATTTTCCACGGTAGAGCTGAAGGAACTGAAAAAAATTTTTGTCCTATAAAGGTTTTTGAGTTGTAAAACTTTGATTTATCGATGTTCGATTGTATAAATATCATGTAAATAGACATATTTACATCCTCATGCATTAATGATCTTACATTTCTCTCTTTAAGGAGATAAACTGTGGATGACAGAAAATTCTTTCATCTACGTCTTATAATCATACATTATAAGAAATTATTTTTGCAGACGTTATTGGTATTTATAAAGTTAATTTAACAAAAGATATTAAAGTAATTTGTACCTACACAGTCACCCTATGCCAACCGACAATTTAGATAGAAATACATAAAGATAGAAAAACAAATAAAAAAAGTAAGACAGATAGGAGGAAAGACAGAAAAAGAGAATTTGGATTTATAAACAAAAACGTTATTCGGCGCATCTTATTATATCGCCCTCTCAACCGTCTGTTAGTGACTCCAGACTCTTGATTGTGTGAGCATCGTTACAGCTGCCAGTAAAAGATTAAGTTGACTCACCTGAATTTCTTGATCGGTTTTGATCAATTTCAATGAAAAATTATTTATTAGTCCCAATTATTTTATCAAGTAAGTAACAATATGAAATATTAAAAAAACAAATAAGGAAAAAGAAGGGCTATTGAGAGTTAACGCGGTACTTAGTATGTGCGAAATCCAAACCTTTTAATTAATTATTAAAATTCTTCATTACAATATTTGAACGTTTCGGCTTTGAATTGGAGCCATCTTCAGCAATAACGAAAATTTGATGATCCCTTCCTTTTTTCGTATTTACATTGACTGTAATCGGGTACGATCAAAACTTTTTGACTGGTTTTATATTTCTTTAAATTTTAAATTATGACTGTCTTTTAATTAACTAAGAGTTTTACTCGTTTGAAATGTATATTTATTTAGTATTTATTAACCATTGTTCTGCGATTCCACGATTCATTGTAATTTCTACATTCTCTGCCACATATAACTAAATTGCCTCTCTAAGATTATTCGGCTTACCAACTGTTCATGAGTAACATTCAATTAGGAGACATTCCACGTGTGCGGAGAAAGGAAAGGACCATCAAATTTTCGTTATTGCTGAAGATGGCTCACATTCAGAGCCGATACGTTCAAGTATAGTAATAAAAAATTTTAATAATTAAAAGAATTGAATTTCGCACGTACTAAGGACTGCGTTGATTTTTACTAGCAGCTGTTTTTTCTTACTTGTTTTTTAAATTTGAGAGTTCGTTAGATTTATTGACAAAATATTAATTTTATATCATGTGTAAAAGCAGATTTTACCACATGATTTAACGCATTAATCTTTTATATAATCTTTTATATGAATAACCGACAACATTTATTTCAGGCTGTGTTTAAAACCTTGAAAAATAATTGCTACTATCCACACTTTCTCATTGCAAATAGCAAAACAGTTGAATAAGAAGAAAAATTCTATTAAATTACATTTAAATTTGTAAACTGTAGTTTACATTTTATGTAAATTTAATAAATTTATGAGAAACTTCAGCGCAGGTTTAACTTTTACAAAATACTTCAAATAATAGAAATTATTACTCACAAAAATGAATCAGTTCAAAATATCTGCAACAGGCAAACTATGCTTATTAGATGAAGATGCTGGTACCGATTTACGTACCACGCTGACGTTCATCGAAACACCGATTGCATCTTTAAACAACAATATTGAAATAGATTTTTCTCAAATCAGTTTCTCTCTTAAAATGCCATTAGAAACTTTTACAACGTTCTTCAATAATTACGAGGAGAAAATACGTCAATTGTATGAAAATGTGAAAATATTTACCCACATTCATCATAAATCAGCCGCACCAATAGTATTTATACAAGCTTTCTATTATTTGCTGCTTTATGTCACCCATAAAGAGTAGATTAAAATTAAACCTTTCAATATGCATTTTTCCACGAAATTAATGCTAAATAATGATTTTATCTGTCCGGAATCATTTACAGTATGTCTTGCGGCATGCTTGTTACATTGGTCACGTCTGCAAAAAAATGATCGCTGCACTATCGATAACACCGATCGTGAAAAAATTGCCCCATATGCTGAACACTGTGACAAAATATTTTTCAAATCTGGGATACAGGCTATAAACTATAGCACATTTGGAATTTCCCTGGCATATCACATTGACAAAAATAAGCGTTTGACTTTGATGTTTGATTTTCCAAGCATGACGATATTGCTAGTTGATTCAATACAAATGCAAAATGTAGATATTCAGATGCCAAACCTAGAATGTTTAGGAAAGAAATTTTATGATATTATAAATTCCGTCGTGGACCACGTTAAGCCTATATTGATGGATTGTTATAATTTACGAGAATATGATGTCTACGAAGATGAAGATGAAGATGAAGATTTTCTTAATGGAATAAAAGTTAATCCTTTGACGCATGACAAAACATTAGAAGTAAGTCTTATTAAATATCTTATCACGAAAAATATTGCTACCACTGTGTCTATCATTGTTTTTATATCATTTTTTATTGAACTTTTATGTGAGAATTTCTATATTGTCGAATTTCTCAATATTCAGATCAAATTATATTATAACGCGTGTTTTTCACAGACTTCCATTCCAACCCAAAGTTCAGGTAAATTGTATAATCATCTGCAGAAAATGTACGCATTGGTAAAAGCAAATTTCGGGAAATGTGCAGATGATACCTATTTATACATTTGGAGCCCATTATTTATGTAAATTTAAAAAAAAAGTCTACCCTCCGATGATTTCAACTATTTGACGACAATCAAGAACGATATTAAAACGTATTTGACTGGTTTGGGCGTAAAAATTGAAATAATTACGTAGTAAAGTCTTAAGTTTAATATAAATAATTAAACGTAATTATTGTAATATTAAACTTTGTGTTAACAAAAATAATAAAGTATTCGTTCCTAAGCATTATAAATTGTTTGTTTTCATGTATATTTTAGAAATACATAATCGTAAATATGGTAGATGCAATCATTATCACGCGATGCATTTCCTTTTCAATGGTTTTTTTGTATGTCGAGGTATATATTTCTTTCATATGTCGTTTAACAAAGTGCTATTAAAATTATTTGCGTCAATTGCATCTATAAAAAATCAAATATATTTATTAACAAAAGGAAATTTTAATATAAACGTTAATATATATTTTAAATTTTCTTTGTTTCGCAACCAACAACTTGTGGACCTTATGTTAGATTATTTCATTTTATTGTAAAGCCAGTTTATTAATTAATTCGACGAATACATCACAAAATGTTATGTTGTATTTTAAACATTATTATTTCCATAAATACAATTATTATAAAATGTCCTACTTGTGGACATGAAACGTCGCTGTCGTGGATATAATTTTCATACAACGTATGTTGCAGAGTTTATAGTTGATCCGACATAAATAAATTAAACAAAGTTAAGTCTTTTACGAAATCGTATATAGGGTGTTCCGAAATTCGCGAATCAAAATATCATAGCAAGAAAGTCTTTGAAAAATTAATTTAAAACTCTTATTTGTAAATTTTTATTTGAAACAGTATCACGCAGAAAAAGGATTAGCCAATGAAGGTAAAATATAGCTATGGCAGCTAAGATGTGTCGTTGAAATAGGGACAGCTAATGTCGTTGCTGCCGAAGTTCAATTTATTAGTTATTAAAATGTAGATGCTATAGCAAAAAATATTTGCTGCTAAAATCAAATGATATTTAGTCGCGGCCGTATCTACTATGGTATTTTATCTTCGCAATAGAGTAATAATATTTGCAGTATATAACTTATATAGTACTGTAAAATATAAATGCTAAATGCGCTGTAGATGTGCATATATAGCAGTGCCACATTGCAAAAACAATTACAAATCAAATTTTCACGCGTAGCTATAAACTTAGCTCTGTGTGCTAAATGTGTGCATGATAAGACATTTAGGTATACGCATGCCATCTTTTTAGCTGCCTGTGTATACTAATATATGCTTTTAATTTCAGTTAATAAATTTTTTTGTCACAGTGAATGTTTTTTATCTGTAATAGCCAGAACTTAGCAATGACACTAAGGCGGTAGCCCTCTTATAGCTAAGTTTGATTCAGCTATTGAAATTTAGCTACTATTACTAAGTCATTTTTTTGCGTGTAGTTTTTGAGATTTAAGAGTTAAATTTATAGTTTTAGCAAATTATAGATTACGATTAAACCACGAAACATGTGAGCGCGTCGATAGTGTTAGTATGTTAGTGGTCGCGCACTTCACGCGCATATATACCTATAACTAATCTATAATTGGCTAAAACTCTTATATCGCAAAAACTACTGCTTAAAATAAAAATTTACAAATAACTTTTTTACTTAATTTTTCGAAGATTTTCTTGCTATATGATATTTTAATTCGCGAATTTCGGGACACTCGCTGTATATGCATGTATTTCATGTGAAGAGTTTTGAAATAATAATCGAAAAGAATAAATCGAGAAGATTTGATAGTCATTTGAATAATTTAAATTAAAAATTTTTTCAACAATGCGGCTGCGTTCCGTACTTAATTTGCACTTTTGGAATCATTTTATCCTTTTTTATTGTTATCAATTTAAATAATATGACAGTCATGACGAGCGATAAGAGTGTCAAGTGTGAAGTGACACGCATTAATTATTGACTAAAAATTAATGTTTCGATACATGCCCGGGAAAAAAAGTTTCACATATAATTATACATATGCAAAATATGTCCATATATGTTTCTTTCCTTTGTAAAATTATTCTTTATTATAATACAAAATTGATAATAATAAGGAAACAAAAAATAATTAAAAGAATAATTTTTACATTGTTTTTTTTACAAAAAATCAAGTTTGAAGAAATGAGAAAAATTGCTCATATATTATAATCATATATAAGTGATTAAAAATATACATATATAATATACATATATAATTATATATGAACGATTTTTCTCATTTCTTCAAACGTGATTTGTTGTAAAAAAACAATGTAAAAATTATTCTTTTAATTATTTTTTATGTTTCCTTCTTATTATTATCAATTTTGTATTAAAGAATAATTTTACTAAGAAAAGAAACATATATGGACATATTTTGTATATATAATTATATAATTGTGGAACTTTTTTTCTCGGGCATGATATCACAGGAACGGAGACTTTTGAATTTTTTGGATGTGGAGTGTACCTCATCTGAGCGGGGGGGGGAGGGGTAATAACACAAATATTTTATCTCTTCTGTTATATGCCGAAATATATTTCTAAGTACTTCTATATATTTAATTTCTTTTTATATTTTTTCTTTACAAATATGAATATTTTTCTTTTAATTTTATCTCGATATCACGCAAGAATTACTAGCTCATTTAGATAATTATTTTGAAAAGTTTCTTTTTAAATACCCCGAATTCAGGGAGTGGAATTCCATCACACCCACGGGATCTCTGGGTGTGAAAAGCTTCATAAAGGAAGGTCGCGTCCCTGCATGAAATCAAATTTTTTTGTAGAGGGAGTCTCACTCACTTTGCCGCTCGCGACGGCAAAATTACGAAGAAAAAAAATATTTGTGTCGTCTCGCGCCAAGATTCGTATATCAAATTCACGACACCGCGGAAGAACGCGTGAAATTAGAGTCGATTTAAAAGATTTATCGCGCGTAAGGAGACGCTCAGGAGACGCCCGAGTTCAAGTTTGACGAACGGGATCCGATCTGTCGAATCTCGCGCCAACAAATTCTCACACAAGCTCTCCGGGGCACCCCGGAGTTCTTTCCCTCCCGTCGAGGTTGGAGCCGCGTTGAGGTTAGGATACACCCGGACGTTCGATCGTCGCGCGCGAGCTAACGCGTCCCCGTAGGAAAATATGCGTTAGTCATCCGCTATTGTTCAACATCGCCGTCGCCCGTCGATTCTCAGCGGCGACGACGACGCGGGCAGATGAGACCGAGATTAGAGATGCATGAGCGCGATCCGGAAAAAACCGCCGAGTGCAGCCGTGATAGGACAGTGACGACGGGATCGCGACGTCGGGCGGGTACGGCGTGGTGGGACGCGGATGATACGCCCCACGGACCGGCGACGATGATACGGCGTATCTGCAGTCGCGTTTAAACCTCAGCAGCCAGCGGAATGAATCATGCGCGGGCGTGAAGATGAGCGGTGCAAAACACAAGATATGGTTCGTATGTACACCTACACGACGTCTCGACTCTTTCGGCCAACCGCCCTTCCCTCCTTCCCCCCCCCCCCTCTCTCTCTTTCTCTGTCATTTATTGTTTACGAGCACGTAATTGTATCGTTTTCCGGTTTTCACTGTGTCATTATGCATATAACACGTCGGTCGGTCCTGTAACAGCATGGTCTCGGATTTCTTCTACCCGAACATGGGCGGCGTCGAGGAGCACATCTTCAACCTGTCCCAATGCCTGCTGGAGCACGGCCACAAGGTGGTGATACTCACCCACTCCTACGGGGATAGAGTGGGAATAAGATACATGACGAACGGTCTGAAAGTACGTGCCACTCTTTTTATTTACTCGGTCGGCCTCGGTGCCTTTAAAGACTCAGGGTTGTGCGTCTACACGTAAAATGTAATACTCTACATTTACGTGTGGACAACGCGGAACTATTGTATAAAGTGTCATCTACGTTGACAGCCAGTAAACTATATATTTATTTATTTAATAAATACATATAATTTAATGTTTATGTAAAAAAAAAACTACCATTTGAGTAAGAAAAAGTCTCTGGTACATTCTTAATTTTAATCTCGTAGTTAAATTAATGTTCAAAATACATCAAGAATATCCTAAAGATCTGGTATCTTTAGCCTATTCCTAGACATATTTTGGACATTTCTACTGTGGGTAGAGACTGCTTTATAATTTAATTCTTTTATATTGTATATATTAGTGATACAATTTACAATATTCTACATAGTTTACAAGTCTTGATTGTCTACATAGCAAAAAGACCATGTAAACATCACGTAGATTTCATGTAAATAATCTGTGTAGACGTAATCTTGAAATCTACGGCACAGCCCTGCTTTAAACGGTACCCTTCGTGTCTTCTTCTTTTCTCATATCCTTGTGCGTCTGTCATTTGTAGGTATATTACATCCCTGTCAAGGTCTTCTACAATCAGTGCGTTCTTCCAACGATGATATGCTCTCTTCCACTCATCAGGTACATCTTCTTAAGAGAGGAGATACAGATAATACACGGCCATTCGGCATTCTCCGCTTTAGCCCACGAGGGGATGCTGATCGGCAGATTAATGGGACTGAAAGTAAGCCTTCGCCTTCGTTCCGCTGTACACACGTCAGTGGTGCGCATTAAAGCTGTTGCACGCAAAACGACGTGAAGATGTGTGCTTGATGTACAAATGATGGGCTTGCTGCAATTTTGCGGGCCAACCCACATTCTGTAACATTTTATAAAACAAGCTGAGAGAAAGAGGCGTACATAGGACACCTGGGGAAGAAATAAAAGAAGACTGGCTCACATTCTCACGTGCATCCTCAGATTTCTGAAGAGAGTAAGAAAGATAATATGAATTAAAGTGGGAACGATATTCTAAGAAATCCTGTGCTAGAATACCCATAGGAAGGATAAAAGGCAGCAAATAAATCTTCCAGCCAGGAGGAAACTAAAAAAAAAAACATTTTATATAAATGGAGAGAAAATGAGCTCTAAAATTCATCGCTCTAATTTTAGAGTTCATTTTCTCCGGTGTTACAAAATGTGGATTCTAGTTTTTGCAGCAAGCTCTTCAAATATAAAAATGAATTAAATCGCGAGATCTTCAGTATTCTTTATTGCACTGTTCAGTAAAATACGTATTGGACATTTTATCTTAATTGATAAAAACGATTTTTATATTTGAAGAGCTCGCTGCGAAAGCTCTAATCCATATTTTGTAACAACAGAGAAAATGAACTCTAAGATTAAAGTGATGAATTTTAGAGTTCACTTTCTCTCCATTCCTATAAAATGTTCTTTTCATTTAGCTTCCTCCGCGACTGGAAGATTTATTCGCTGCCTTTTATTCTCCCTATGAATCTCTCTGGCACAGGATCTCTTAGTCTGGGATATCGTTCCTATTATTTTATTCATTTTATCTTTTCTACTCTCTTCAGAAATCTGAAGATACACGAGAATATAAGACAGTCTTCTTCTTTTATCATTTCTCAGGTGTCTGTTCCCCCAGGTGTCAGCCGACTCAGGAGTCGTATGTTTCCATGTATGCCTCTTTCTCTCAGCTCATTCTGAGAAAATGTCATAAAATGTGGGAAATAGTAAAATATTTTATTTTTACTTGTCAGATGACATAGGCTTTAATTTGCATCACTGCACTGTCCAAATTCGCTGTATTAATTACGCTGAACGGCTCAGGATAATACGAGGGTGACTAAACACGCTGTGTTTTGCAGACAGTTTTCACAGATCATTCCCTCTTCGGTTTCGCGGACGCGTCCGCTATTCTGACGAACAAGTTTCTCGAGATATCGCTGGTCGACTGCGATCATTGCATATGCGTGTCTCACATCGGAAAGGAGAACACGGTGTTGCGTGCGAAGGTGCAGAGGGAGAAAGTGTCGGTTATCCCGAACGCGGTCGACACCGCGTTATTTACACCCGATATTGGTAAACGGAACAACGACTTCAGTAAGTTTTAGATTCCGAGGGCGCCTCTCCGGTGGCCGTACATTAGGAGCGTATCACATTCCAAATGCCATAATTGTAAACCGTAAATTTCAGTTACCATAGTAATAATATCGCGATTGGTGTACAGGAAGGGCGTTGACCTTCTAGCCCATGTAATACCCGAGATCTGTTTGCGTCATAAGAATGTGCAATTCCTGATCGGCGGGGACGGCCCGAAGAGATGGCTAATAGAGGAAGTGCGGGAGAGAAATCTGTTGCAGCACAGAGTCACCCTGCTAGGCAGTCTGGAGCACTCTCAAGTCAGGCACGTTCTGAACAAGGGTCATATCTTCCTGAACACGAGCCTGACGGAGGCTTACTGTATGGCTATCGTAGAGGCAGCTTCTTGCGGGTAAACTGCGGCATGTGACGCACTTTTCGCCCTCTTGTCCTACTTGTAACGCCTGAAATTAATTGGGATCTTCCTTTGAGCCTAATTTTCCTCTAACGAGTAACATTTATCGTATCCTGCTAACAAGGGTTTTCGAATAACGAGAATCAATGTAATAAGTACTGTTTTACAGTTTGCAAGTAGTGTCGACGAAAGTCGGAGGTATCCCGGAAGTTTTACCGCCGGATCTGATTTACCTCGTGGAACCCACTGTACCTGCATTAATCGAAGGGCTGGAGACGGCTATAACGGACTACAAGAGAGGCAATGTCGGCTGTCCCTTCGAGACGCATAGGAGGATAGGCTTGTATTATAATTGGTTCAATATTACCAGGCGTACGGAGATAGTGTATAATTTAGTAAAGCGTGAAGCGAAGAGAAATCTGGGACAACGATTAGCTAGTCAAATACAAAGCGGTGTACTGGCCTATTTGCTCGTGGTGTCGTTGTGCTATATAATACTACAAATTTTGGAATTTCTCGTCCCAAGAAAGGTAATTAAAAAAAAAATCGAAATCATAACTTATACGCATGTCTAAAATTCAGTACGAATTTAGGCTTAGATAAGATAAACCAATGTGTATAAAAAAGCCAATATAAGCCGACACAGAGTGTGTGTTTAAATAAAATATATATTAATCAATCGACATAAAATTAGAGCGCTCTAATTTTATATCGATTGATTAATATATATTTTATTTAAACACACTTACATCCTGTATCGGCTTATATTGTTTTTTTTTATACCCATTGATTTATACGCATGAATTTTAATTTTAATTTGTATATTGTAGTGCTTTTAATTTTGTGTGTGCGTAAAATTTTTTTTCGTTTTTCCCTTAATTGACTTACGATTTAACTTTTACTTTTCAAAATTGTTTACTAATATATGTGCAGCATATTTAAGCATATTTATCATTTGATCAAAAAGAATCTTTGTAAGTAAACGAGATAATTTAAAGATATATAAATGAATTTTTCAGTATATCGACGTTGCTCGAGATTACAGCGATATTCATGTTGTACCTTCCAACGGGAAAGGAAAAGAAGATTAACTATCGTCACAAAAGCCTGAAATGTATAAACTTCTCAATGTGTTCAAGTATTTTATTCTCTCTATACCTTGGAAACATTCCGGAAAATTCGTTTTTTTTTTTGCAAAAAATCATTGTTATACAATATTATGTATGTCCTTGCGAAAGAAGAACAATCGTCGTTGCACTTACCGATAAATTTTTAAAGAAATATAATTATATTCATATATGTATATATAGATGTTGTACACAGAGAGGTAACAATGCGCAAAAGAGTACAAATGTCACGATACTTGTATGTAGAATTATAACTGAAAGAAAGAGAGAGAGAAAAAGAAAGACAGACTGTTTATAACAATTTTATTTATTATATATCATCCTGCTTTCCGTAGTTTAATTTGTATCGCTTTAAAATAAAAACGACGGCATTGTGTGGCGTTTTAAACATCCAAAAATACTGAATCATCCATCCAATGTTGAAACATCGGATTTAATTGTACGAAAGTAATATTAATTTGTCCATTAAATGATTTTTATTATGATATATGACAATCGTATGAATCAATGCATAACATGTATAACAATTCGTAACGATATCCAACCGCAACGCTGCTGACCCCGCATACATTTAATACATTACGCTTAAGAAAGATTTATTGCGTCCATTAGCATTACAAAATATTACGCCGCAGTGTATTACGAATCGTTTGTGCTTACTTTTAAAACAATCCCGCGCTAATTTTTTTTAAGCAGTTATTTGTAGCAATATGTGGAGTAGAAAGGTTAATTCGTATTCATGCCCGCCGTAGGGCATTATCATATTAGTATCTTTCTTTTTTTCCAAGGACTTCTCTTTTCTTTTATAAGAACCAATAAAATGACTTTATCTGGAACTTGCGATTCCATCACAAATATGCCGTATATCTTCATTCAGAATCATTCATTATCACCTGCATACAAAGTGTATATAAAGTATATTATTAACTTAAAGAAAAAATATACAGATAACGGTTCTCATACATTTTTATCGTTTAACAAAAAATTCTCTATAGTACATCTATATATATATATATATTATATACTCTTTCGGTGTTATGAGATCTGAATTTCGATACACAAATTAATTTCTAAAACAATAAGAAAGTCAAATTGAAAATATAATAATATTTATTTTTCATTTTACGTTGTACGTTAGATACAATAATAGAATATTGATACAATATCAATCAAGTTTTTTCTTCCTTATTATATCGCTTGTAATCGACTTGTTTTAAATCATCACTATATTACTCTGTACATTTTTTAAATCTATTTATACATAAATCTTTTCACGAAAGGGTCTATGATCTTCTCCTATTTCCTTGATCTCACATAAGAGAAGATCAATGAACCTTAATCAACAACCATCATAATATTACGAGTGGTCAGATCTGTCACAACATTCCAACGCTTATCCCAACGTCGTGTCTGTGTCTCCAACGCATATTAAGAGTCGACTGAGAGAAACGAAACAAACGTTCTTTAAAAGCGCTAAAAAAAGTTATGGATCTTCCAACCACGCGACATTTACAAAGTTATAAAATAAAACGTTATACAAAAAAAAAATACCATTTCTCTTTGCATGTAATGTATCATTTAAATCTCTCACGGTTTTTTTTTCGTATTTTCGAGAATATTTAGCTGTTTATACGATCGACTACGGGCGTATAGAAGAAGGGGTCTATGCCGACGACAATGAGATCCACATATGCAGTAAAAATCAGTACTATTCGGGATGTATGCTGATAATCTGTGTGATATATCTTGAAGGAATTAGTAATATGCATCACGAATATTACTTTTAATCGCTATTGCGTTGTCTCTGTCTCTCTCTCTGTCTCTCTCCCGCAAAAACTGAAAATTTCTAATGCAAGAATGCTAATCTGAGTCAAAAGTCACTAGTTTTTTATTTCAAAATTATCCTCATGTCAGAAAACTGTCGCTTTGAATCGCTGTCGCTCCTCATCCATCATTCCAGTGTATAATACAAGTATCTCCGCTCTGTTATCAGTGTCGCATTCATTGTTTCACGTATACAATGTAACTGTGTATGTATTGCTTAAAGGTATCGTTACTGCAATATTATGACGGCGAAGAGGTATTAAAAAGTGAAAGAGGGAAGGGGGAGGGAAGAATTGTCGTGCTTGAAATGCATCTGAAATCATTTGCAAAATGTATTACAGAGTAATCTATATATATGTATGTATGTGTGTGTATATATATATATATATATATATATATAAAGTAAATCTCTTTTTTTCTTGACGTCTATTTGTGATAAAGCGAAAATCCATAGGATTCAATAAGGATAAATACTGACGCGCCGTATATTCAGTACCGTAGAAGATGATGATTTTCGCGATCTCAAGCACGTTCTATAAATGTTACTTCCTTTTTCATTGAACACCTTTACATACACATATTGCTATTGACTGCCACATATCCGCATGCACATTTATTATCGGTCGGCATACTTTTCTCTCTTTGTTTTTTTTTTATGTATAAGTGACGATAGCGAGATGAAATGTTATAAAAGTTTCCAACTCTAATTATCGTGTACATTAGGAAAAAGTAAGTCCGTCCTCTTTCATGTGAGATATTCTTTGAGTAATATGTACAATGGAGCTTTTGTGTGTATGCGTGTGTGTGTTTGTGTGTGTGTGTGTGTGTGTGTAATGTAAGAAAATAACGCCACGCTCAGCCGGTCCTAAATAAAGACCGCCATCGACGATCAACTTTGAAAAGGATGTGAGCTCTTTTCTTTGTGTGTTGGATTGTAAAAAGTCTTCCATATGCTTTATCATGAGGTACCCACGGTGGGTCTCTCAGCACCGGTTTGGCATGTACAATAAATAAATAACGAACCGTTTTAATGAAACCAGCGTCGCATCATTTCTACAAGGTAAATCGGTGACGGCAAACAGCTCAAACGCCTTCGCCGTAATCGCGATCACCTACGTTAATACGATCGGGAGCAGCAGTTACACTGAAGCCAAGGATCCTGTTATCCACTTTGAACATCTTTCCCTTCTTTGGTTTCTTGGATTTTCCCTGAAAAAAAAAGAATGTCAATAATCTAAATATCGCTCGTAATTACCAAGACAAATATTAATAATAATTTAATAGGCCGTAAACGAACAAATTTCGTGGGTAAACTAAATAAATATATTTTATTTATATCAAGATGTACAGATATATCTATAAACATATTTGTACATCTTAATATAAATAAAATATATTAACATATTAATTTACCGAAATGCTCGTTTGCTTCCAGTAAACCTCTCCAAGCGAAGAGCTTCACACTTTGTTCGTTTACGGCCTCTTAAATTATTAAAAAAAAAGGATCTCTCAGTATTCAATCGTTTCTATAGACTCGATACTTGTATTTAATATTAATATACTTAACTTACATTTGACACTAATTTATATAATATTATAATAATGTGGATAATATTATTAAACAACGATTTTTGGTGAAAAAGTTTACTTTAATAAATTAATATTTGAATAGTGTCTCATTATTATTACTGTATCAAGATAATCTAACGCTAACAAGGATATACCTTAACTTCTTGAAATTCTGCAGGAGCATTTGGATTAACAGCGGGTGCTGGCTTGCACAGGTCGTCCGCTTGTGCCTGAGGACGTTGCGCCGATCGCCATTTGCTTCGCTTTTCGAGGAACTGCTTGGCGAATTCCGTGCTCTGCTTGGTGTCCCCAAGGTAGACGCGAACGTACTCCTTAACTTCGTACGCCGATTCGATGTCTCGCAAGAATCCAACGAATGTAGGGACTGCAAATGCATATGCGTATAGGAAGACGAAATTCGATGAGGAAATACGACGATGCGGGACACTTACTGTCCACAGACGCCTGTAAACTGCTCAATGCTTTCATACACCATTGAGTGAATTCGTCGGTCTTGGCAGTGTTCTGTTCAAACAATTTCTTCACTAGTTCCTCCTCCCTCTTATTCTTACTTTTGGACGCTTTGTTATTATTATTTTGCTGCTGCTGCTGTTGCTGCTGCTGCTGATTGGAGGCAGGTTTTGCAACTGCGGTTTGCTTAGCCGGCTGCTTCGTAGTGGTGGTGGTAGTGGTGGACGATTTGACAGGCGTGGGATCCCAGAAACCGGTGGTACCGGAATTCATGGACCACACTTGACTGCCCGACGCGCTCGAATTGGTCCAATTCAAGCACTGCGACGCCGTACCCCATATTCCGGCGTTCTGCAGCATATTCGCGGCTTCCTTCTGGCCGGCCTTCTCCAACCGTTCCCTTTCCTGTTGCTGAGACATTTCAATTTTTCATCGCACAATCGGAAGAGACGAAACTTCATTTGGAATTAATCGCGTATTCAAGAGGTAATAAGTACCTTTACCTTGACGCGCTCCTGCTCCTCCTGCTGAATCTGCGCGAGACTCTTCACTTGGAGAGGTTTACTGGAAGCAATAGCCTTCTCCGCCCACTTGAACTGCAATCGCTTTGAAGAGTCGACTGCCGATGCTTCTTGCGCCGCTTCTACCGCCTTTTGCTGCGCCAACTGTTGCTGCATCAATTGCTGAAGCCGTTGTTCCTCCTGTAAGCGAGCAACAAACGTAGATAGATGTTGCACCACGTACATAATAGGACTGGTGATTTGCTTCGAAGGCTTCG